GAGAGAGAGAGAGAGAGAGAGAGAGAGAGAGGGGTGAGTAGGACGAGAGCAGGGAACGGTGAGATTTCATGCTGTGTTAGCATCCCCTCAGCAACTCCATCAATACTGCATACAGCTGGGAAACTGGCAAAGGTCCTCCGTGCTGCATTTGCAAGCTCGGCCAGGGAAAAGAAAGCAACTCCCACGACCGGTCTGCTCAGTCTGCTGCTGGAGGGGGGCTCTCCGCGAGGGGCAGAGCACACTTACACTCTCACTTCGAGACTCTGCTGCACCAAGAGGCAGAAGAGGACCATACGGAGGGACGCCCAGACCGGGAATACTCCAGTGGACAGAGCCAATCCCGGAGAGGGACAGGACTGCTGGGACACTCGTGTGCTAATATGCTACCGTGCTCCCCCAGGGGAAGCTGAGCACCAGGGAGTTTGACAGGATTTCAGTGCACCTGCTCCATACACACTGGTAAGCTTTATTTATTCACTGTACAGTCAGGGAAATATAGCTCTGTTTTATTAGTTCCCAATATGATGTGTTTATGTGATGCTCTGTGTATAGTCACACTTACTTTGCCTGCATTTGTGCACTACTTGTATGGAAGTTGTTTGCTCTGTCAGATGCCAGATCTTCCCTGGAGACTAAAGAACAGTGTAGACTAGTGGTGCATTACATACAACTAAAATCACAATACCTTAATTTAATTTGTTATGGATCAGTTATGTTACACACATGTAAAATATGAGCATCTTCAGGGCTGATTAAGTTTAAATAGTTCTTACATCAGTAACTCTTTAGGAAATTAGGAGAGAATGAAATATCACACAGTAAATCTCACAATCTATCGATTTCTATTGACTTGTGTGTGTGTGTGCGCGTGTGTGTGTGTGTGTGTGTGTGTGTGTGTGTGCGGGTGTATTTGTTTGTGTGTGCGCATGCTGAGAAACCGGTCAATTGCAGAATTGTTATATGGAAGCACAGCTCCTCTGTGGGGGTGTACACCCCTCTGTACACCACAATTCTAGTTTTCCATGACATCATGGAGAGGTTATCGCTCAGAGCAGCAGCAAAGTGACCCGATAGACGTGGTGGTGCCATTGTTGACCAGCTTTAGCTTTACAGAAGAATATGATATACAGAATTTAAAGTTTGGGACAACTTTTGGATAAAGTAATGAAAAAAATGACTCTCCCCTGTGAACTCTTTCGAGTGCCGCAGTAAAGAATGCCAAGTGAAGATATGATCCGGGATTTTTAGAGCCATGTGGTATATATCTATTATACCTGTTAAAACATTATATTCCCTCCTTTTCAGTTTTTATACACACTTTAGATACTGTTTGGGACCTTATGAAGCTGTTGACAGCTCTCCTGATCTTGCCTGTAACATGCCAATAATCACTACCAATTTATCTACAAGGAAACAACACAAACATTTGTAGAAACTCGGCTCTAGAATGGTGTGAATGAACTTGCTCACAATGAATGATTGTGTCACGTACTAGAGCGTCTCAATGGGGATTGTGGTTAACTGTAATCCGGTCTTTATTCTTTTATAGTTAAGACACGTATAGGCGATGGAGTAAATAGAAATTAATCAAAAGCTTCTTGGTATTTAGAGGGACATGCTGGTGACTCAATGGACCAAGGTCTACAAATCTAACCTCAAACATGGACTTTTGTCTCCTTCCACTGTGAACAATCAAAATAAGAAATGCAGACCTTTACTGCATTTCAAAAACCCCAACAATTTCACCCACTTGTCCCTTACATTGAATGCGCACTTAAGCTGACGGTAAACACGATAGATAACCACTAAGAGCCCAGTGAGAGAGCACTTTGTACTCAGCGGTTGGTTTTATGCAATCAGGGGATGATTCCTCGGGCTTATCTTTGTATTTCACAAACCAGGAGAACATGCAAACTGTGAGTGAGGGACAGAGGTGTGGTCGTATATTAAGAGTGCAGGTAGATTGTTGCCCTTTATCAGCTGAGGATCAGAGAGCCCTAATCGTTAACTACAGGCTGGAACCTGTCAAGCAAGTGTTTGAATAATACAGAGACCCCAAATTGGGATTGTTGGAACCAGCAGATCTTCTTTTAATCAGGTGCTGCTGCAAGTCAAGTGTTAATTGGTGGATCAGGTTTGTCCTTGTCTGGGAGGATTATGGGACATTTGCTGTATCTCTGCATTACAGAGCGAAGGTCTTCAGCTGGTAGAAAAGCTGAAGATATAAGAACGATGTCCCTTTTTCATCATCTTTTTCAGAGCAATAACATTACTCACTGTTTACTGTTGGAGAATGATGAATGTGACTTTGGTGCTCAACATTCCTGCTGTTTTCACCCACAGTCAGTTTGTTGATCGACCTCCTCGCCTCCAACCAGGAGCTGCCTTTTGCTAATTCCCCCTCGCAACATTCCAGTAACAGGTATTACATTTGTAGGGAAGTGAGTGAAACTGACAGCTTGTTTGCAGGCAGGATTATTAGCACTGCTTGGGGACAGGCCCAACAGCGACAGAGCGAGATCTGCGTCATATGTTGTGAGGACAAAATCTGCTTAACCTACTTTAGTTTTGCACAAAATATGTTGGTGCTTGCTGGAACTCCAGCTCTTTGCGATCCAATTTGACCAAAAAAGTTTGAAGTGGCGACAAATGATTTGAAGTGGCAACATGTGAGAGTGAAGTCTGCTCTCTTCGGGAAGTGATTTCATATGTTGCTCTCTGTATTTCGAGAAACACAAAGCTTCAAAGGCTCTGCTGTGTTAGCGTGCCTGTTGACTGAATGCAGAAATATGCAGAAATAAAGACCAAAATTACTTTTGTGGAGGACGCTCAATTTGGAACATCTGACATGATGTCATCATAGGCTTTAATTTGATTTTTGACTTTGCATCAACTTGTTCAGTGAAGTATTTGTCAAACAAACAGTGGTGAAAGAAGTATTTAGAAACTTTGCTTGTGTAAAAGTACAAACAGAGCAATGGAAAAATACTACTTTTAGAAACAGAACGCATCAAAAGCACAAGTATTTGTTGAAATGTGCCCATGTGACTCACATGTTATTGTAATGTGACATTATTACATTGTTGATACTGACGCATCAGTTTTACTGTTGCGGTGGAGCTAGTTTTAACTACTTTAGATACAGTCAGGTAGTTTAGTCCAGTGTCTTCATCATCCATGATTAATGAGAGAGGAAAAAAGAAAATGTATTTTATTTTACTTAAAATCTTAATCTGCAAGTCAGTAGTAACTATAGCTGTCAAATATATGTTAGTTGGATACAAGTTGTGATATCTTCCTTTAAAAACATTGCAAGTACCTCAAAACTCTACTAAAGCACAGTACTTGTGTTAATGTACAGAGTTAATTTCACCCACTGCAAACAAATACACGCAACAACTCAATCTCAGCTGCAGAGTTGAGGCCAGTCCGAGATTTTTCCATTTCTCATTGGTTCTAAGCAGTGCTCCATTCAACACAGCGCACTTTTTTTTCTGATGTTCAAGGACATTAAGATGTGCTCAGAATATCAAGCAGTCCTTTTGGTTGTACCTCAAAAGGATAATTTGGTGATGGATTGCACCATGTTGAGCGAAACACCTGCCATCCCGGGTCCACCCAGATTCATAGCAGCCAGCGCTCTGTGATTAAGTAACTACTGTATGTGTGGCTGACATACCAGAGCTGGCAGAAATGTGAGGGCAACGTGGCAACAAAACAAGGGGATTTTGAAACTCAAGGGGCCCCTGCCTCCCTTTACAGCGCTGTGTGACGAGAAAGTTAATAGGTGTCGGAGTGCTGTTAATATTTAACGGTTCCTCATGCAATATGCATGAACAAAGGTAACTATGTGTATGGAAACGTTCCTAATTAACGCAATTGCTTTATTTTTACAAGCACTAACATGTTATATAGACGCACACACACACACACACACACACACAAATAATCTGGCAGTCTAATCCTGATTTTTCAAACACTTCAGAGACACTTTTTGTGATAACAGAAACACGATCATTTACTACGACTGATTAGAAGACAAAGTTAGGACCGTGAAAAAGTATGGCGACAAATTTGGCCAAATGTTTTGTCAATCTGAAAGACAGAATTGTAAATGAAAAGTTACAATTTTAAACTGAAAGCAGTCAAGACAATTCCACAGAAAAACTGTTATTTCTTATAAAAACTCTTAAATCATGACAACAGCCTTTCAGATCAGTCTGGTGTGAGTGAGTGAGTGTTGTTGACGATGTCTTTCCTTCTGCAGATTATGTGGAGGAGCTGATGTGTGCGATGGCCAGCCAGGACCTGCAGGTTCTCATATACACAGCTCTGTGTTATCGTTACCGCCCAACAAAGCAGCCCATCCCGAGAATCTGACCGCACCGCCCCTCGCTCTCCCCCTTCCCTCCCTCTCCCTGGGTGTCCCTCAATCCTGGGCCCACCATGGGAGGATGCTTCTCCAAACCCAAACCAGGTAACCAACATGTTCCCCTCGGGCAGGTTACTTTACTTCGAAAGAAAATGTGCATCAAACAAGTGCAACAAGCAGCTACAGGGTGGAGGACGAAATAGCATCTTACAGTCTGATGTAGGCCAACTGCAATACAATACAAAGCAATTACAATGTTAAATTAAAAAAGGTGTTGAAACACCTCCGTGGTGTTTTTGTACATGATTGCATAATATAGTATGGTGTTCATGTTATTGTGTCCACTCCATTAGCTGCTTTTTCTGCTTTTAGTATATACAGTAAACTAAAGTGGTTGAGATTGAGATCCATTTTGATTTAGCTTATGATTCCAATTGAAATACTTTATTGTTAATAGCTGTTATTAATTTGTACAATGTCAGTGAATCTAGCTGAAGACACATGTTTTAATACTGTACTGTTTCCACGGAGAGACCAGTTATTTAAAAAAATATATATATTTAGGGAAAGTTTGTTCAGAATGACTCATATTGAAAGCTACCTCCTCCTCCAAATCCTGTTCCACACGTCACCTCATATCCAGCCTCATCTGTTTGCACTACAGTGTTTAGTGTGGGAGGAATTTGAATGCTCTCTGTGGCATCTTTGGTCAAGAGGATTGCATACCGAGACAATATAAAAAAGATGACACTGTGCGTGTGTGTGTGTGTGTGTGTGGGTGTAGCCATATCAGTGTTAGCATGGCTCGGAGATTAGCAATCTCGCTTTGCTGCAGTCTTGCAGGTGATAATAACACACTGTCCTTCCCATTCAGGTGTATGGGGACACAAAACATCAGCGATCAAGTCATCTGTTCAATGCATCACGTGGAGGAGACTAGTGATCTATATACATATGATTGAACAGAGGCGGCTGACTGTAATTTGTCAGTGTCTACTAAATACTAACTATCAATAACAAATTAACAGGAATATCGTATCAAAATATATTTTACTTTGAGGTGGCAGTGAGCGTTTGTTTAGTTTAGTCTTACAGAAAACAATGCAATACCATTATTTTATAGGAGCTGCTATCAACAGAATATGGACTCTACTTATTAAAAAATATAGCAAAGCATAAATGACACCTCATCTTTACAGATTATTATGCTCCAAGTCAGCTCTCAAAGATTATTAGAATGGGAAACCATCTTTTGCCAATCCTATAAAAATGTTCGTCAGACAACTCACAAGAAATAAAAACTATAAGATTATCCTTCGAGCATCAAGTGAGGGTCAGATCACACAGACTGACAGGGAGTTACAGAAGTCATGAATTCAGGTATCTCCGCTTTATGATTGTGATGACTGATACGTTAGTGGTGTTCCAAGAGACAGCTTGACCAAGTCTAGCCTTAGTTTTATAGTATATTTTAAGTCGCATAAGATTCAGCTTAGACACACGTTTAACATCATCACCATTTAAGTATCAAAATGAAGCAGAGATCCGGATCAGTTGTGCTGATGTCACTTATAGGTTCAAATCAATCAAAGCATTAGATGGTTAAAAAAAAAAACACCATTGATGTTCTTTACTTTTACAGGAAAAATAGAAAGTATCTCTTACTGTGAGACCTAAAATCAAAATGATAAATCCCAACAAATATACACTTTGTGTATGTGCGTGTATGTATATTTCTTCACATTTTGATGCAAATACACACTGTATATTTAGTGGGATTTATATAAATATATATATGTGTGTGTGTGTATGAATATATAGCTCTGTGTAAGTGGCACCGTGACAGGTTGTACGAGGGAGGGAGAGCTTGTAGAAATGGCACATCGCTCTCCTCATTTGCATCCGAATGTGAAGAAATGCAGAAAGGTTTCAGAAACTGTGAAATTATACATAAGGATTTAAACATGTGTTTACTCGAAGCTAGCTGGTTAATAAAATGTCCTTGTTAAAGCTCTAAAGACTAAAAAGATCAAAAGCCTTACAGTAAACACTTTGGTGCCAGACGACTTCTGATCAGATGAAGCATCAGTGTGATTATGTCCCATTTAGCAGCAGAAATTATAGTAGCAACTAGAGATTCTCTTCAGCTGTGGAAAGCTTTCTCTTTCTTTTCTCCTGCAATTGCACTCACTATTATGATTTTCCATTGATTTTAATTAAGACTTGCTCAGCAGGAGAAAATTCCTGCCAGATTACTGTGTAAGAACCGGATGATCAGCACATTTTTCCAGCCGAACAGATAAAGCCTGCTGCAGTGAAAAAAGGAGTTACACAACCGTTTCTTAATGTTCAGAAATATAAACCCAACAGCTGCGCATCAGTAGTCATCAAAGAAAACTGAATATCTCACAGTTAGTTTACTCCACTCTGTAATTCTTGTAACTCTTGTAATTTCTTTAAAGCGGCAAAATTAAGAATATCCACAAAACAGTGCTGTTGTATTTGTGCTGATGCCAGTTTCCTTTAAGGAAATCTCATTATTTAAAGCATTATCCTGTCAAAATCTATATCTTCCAGTTTAGTCAATTCATTTAGATGCAGACAGATTGAGAGGTGAATGAGTATGTTTGTGTTGTGTTTTTGTGGATTTTCCACACCTTATCTCCGGTAAATCTGGTATCAATAGCAACAATTTTAAAGGATGTTAGGCAATGCTCTGCATAGGAGCGATATGGTGCTTTGCATGACAAAATGTGGTGTATTTTAATAGTAATTAATAGATGGGGATTAATATTGAATGTTGAATGATGCCTGTAATTTTACTCGCTAGAAGGTAGAAAGAAAAAGGACAGAAGACAAGCTCGGCCTTACACGTCTCCCTTCACCTGCTTCCTGCTTTCATTTGTTTCAGTTGTGGAGATGTCAGACTCAATTTGTAGACGTCTCTCCTAGCTGAAAGGCAAATTATTCTTCCAAAGCAATAGTGAAGGATAGTAATAACACAACAGAGGACAGGTATACAAGAATAATAGTTCAATCCACTGGTGATTGTCTGCGAATGTTAGGCTACTTGAATTACTTTCACAGCATCATTTTACTGCAGTCATTGTGACTGTGCTGCATGTGATCAGTCATGCATTTTCAGACGTTTTCTAAGTGAGACGTGTTTGTGTTGTGCAGTTGAAGTTAAAGTGGAACTCTCTCTCCTGGAAAAAGAAAAAGAGGTGGACGGGCTGTCACCTAATGGCAAAGCGAGCCCCTTTGCTGACTGCAGACCTAACGGCGCCCTGGGACACGGCTCTGATGATGACTCCACCCCGCTGCCCCTCTACCACAAACCACGGGACTACGTGGAGGCCTCCGTCTGTCACGTTAAAGACCTGGAAAACGGACAGTAAGAAAAAAACAAAGCCAACTTTTTCTTTCTCTATACACCCAAACACACATACTCATGCACACATGCATGCTGAGGTAAAGAGGCTGTTATGATGTACATCAGATGGCGCTCAAGGATCCAGAAGGATATAAGTTTCCATCTTAAAGGGAAAGTTCCTTTATTGACTCATCAGAGATGCATGGGTATCAGCGAATACAGTATGTCGTCTAATTATAAAGAAGACAATAAACAATATAAATAATGTTTAAGATAAGATAATCCTTGATTAGTCCCACAGTGGGGAAATTCACAGGATCACAGCAGCAAAGTGGACAATGCACACAAGATACAGAGTAACATAAAAACCTACTGTAACAGTAGCACAAGTAGAGAAGAGTCATAAAGTAATTGAACTCCCTCGGTATTGTTAGTAACACAGCAAGATCTATGTAAAGTGTGTTAATATTAGCTAAAATTAGCCACAATAAGCTACTGGTCATACCAGACCAAATATATGTATCTGTATAGCAGCAGAAACCCAGAGTTTATTGAATTGTGTTTTATTGTTAATAAAATTTACTTTCAATTTGTAAGAGGAAGATTGTGTCATTTCTCCATATTAACCATGGCATTCATCCAGAATACATGAAGACTTTCATGGTTGTCATGTCACTGTTGCTTTAATTCATTTGGTTCTGTGTTGATCAGAGTGTAGCTTGGACAGATGAATGTGAAGTTATAGTCCTGATGCGTCCATGCTGTGTTTTCTTCCAGGTTGTCAAAATGGCCTTTGTGTGCTTCCTTGGAAGGATTTAATCCTACAACAGTGAACGCACCTTTTTGTATTTGTGTGTTTGACAGGATGCGAGAGGTTGATCTGGGCAGTGGCAGAGCGTTGTTGATCAAACAACACGGAGAGTTCTCCGCCATGGCCCACAAGTGTTCACACTACGGCGCACCTCTGGTCAAAGGTGAGTCTCATATGTCGAGGTATGACTTTAACATTCGTTATGATATTTAATATCATACGTTTGACATTTTTGTTATTTTCTGTCCTTCCAGGGGTGTTATCAAAGGGACACGTGCGCTGTCCGTGGCACGGTGCGTGTTTCAACATTGCAACAGGAGACCTGGAGGACTTCCCCGGGCTGGACAGCCTGCCTACCTTCCAGGTGACCTTCCCCACTGGCGCTGTCTTAACACATTCCCTGCCTTATCATGTCTCTAAGCACCATCAAAAAGTGTACACATCGCTCATATCTGTTTGCTCCAGGTCAGAGTTGAAAAGGACAAGGTGATCATTCGCGCAAACAAGCAGGTAACAGGAGAAAGGATGTGGAGAATTTATGCAGGAAAAGAAACGGACCATCTTATTGATCTGAGATCTTTTTAATAACATTTCCAGGCTCTTCAGTCGCAGAAAATGTCAAAGCCCATGGCCCGATGCTCAGCAGTCATTAACTCCAGCATGGGCTTCAGCCATGTTCTCATCATTGGCTCAGGTCAGTCTGTTTTTGTCCCTCAACAACAAGGATCCAGCTGAATTTGAATCTTATTAGCAGCGTCTTCCTTCACTGTCTCTCTTTCAAAATCAACTTCCTCTTTTATGGTGAACGTATGCGAAGGTCCAGCAGGTCTGGTGTGTGCAGAGACACTGAGGCAAGAGGGCTTCACCGATCGCATCGTCATGTGCACCATGGACAGGCATCCTCCATACGACAGGCCTAAACTGAGTAAGGTTTGTACACAGACCCTGAACACATAAACTGAGACAGAACTGAACTTTGCCAAGAAAGTTACGTAGTTACTGCAGTGGTGGTGAAACAGCTACACTTCACAGCAACAACGATTCAAAGAAAGTTTTGCAGAAGAACATAACTGAATCAAAAATGATGTGACTTGCCATGAAAAGCTTGAAAATGATTATCATTAATTGGCTGTTTACAGTTGCTGTCTTAAGTTGCTTTCTGTTGAATTTAATTTAATTCTTCTCTTGATGTACTCAGTACTAACTTGCTGACCTTTAGTCCTTAGAGAGCACAGCAGAGCAGCTGAGATTGCGCTCAATGGACTTCCTGCAGGATCACGACATTGAACTGCTCACAGAGAAAGAGGTGAGAGGTGGTGACCTCAGATAAATCAATTCATTAATTTGATCTAGATCCATCTTTGGCACTTTCCACCGTATAAACCTGTGTGACCCTGCCATGTTGTTTGCTTTAGGCTGTGGCGATAGATGTGAAAACACGTTCTGTGACCTTTGAAGATGGCTTGAGTATGGAGTACAGGAAACTCTTTATTGCTACAGGAAGCACGTAAGGACAACAACAACTAAACTAGGATATTTCCCATGACAAATAAGCAGCTGAGACTATGAATCATAAACTGACACCCAATTACTTCCAAAGACCCAAACCAATGGTCTACAAAGGAAAGGACGTCAGGAACGTGTTTCACCTCAGGACGCCCGATGACGCTAACAGCGTAGCGCAGCTGGCCAACAACAAGAACGCTGTGATTGTGGGAACGTCTTATGTTGGTGAGAAAAAGACACATTTATAAACGCATTCTTCTCATTTGTCCAGGACAGTGTAACATTAACCTTTTAAAAGCAACTCTCAACTGATCACATGATTAATCGCATGTACTAACAGACAATCAGAGACAAGAATACACCCTACATCTGCTCCACTGCTTTAAATACATCCTTACAGTTCACTCAGACGTTATTCTGCAAAAAAAAAGCATTTGGAATCCAGTGGCAACAACAATCAATAACAACAATCTAATATCCAGCATATAAATATATGGATTTGGATGAAATAAGGGGCAATTGTCTTAAATGCAAACAAAAGAAAACCAAACTGGAACAGCCTGTTGCTGGTCGACGAGGATCATCAGAGAATCTGGTACAATCGCTCTAAAAGTGTTTCCCCGCCTCTGCTTCGGTACTGCAGCCATCTACGATCTACTCTTAGACATCTTAAGACTCCTCTCTAGCTCCCTTTAGTTTAAAAGTAATTTAAAGTAATAGATAGTAATTTATTCACATAGGAGTAGCAGTGGCAGATTTTTATTTTTTACTTGTATCAGTTTGATTAGTATGAGTTGACTGTGAGAGCCAGAACACACGATTCACATCATTTTCATTCCCTTTTCCACTCATTTATTTCAATTTTTTTCTCTTTTTTTCTGTATAATTTTGCATTAATAACCACATGTATGAACTGTATGCTGTGTATTTGTTGTGTTGGCAGGTATGGAGGTGGCAGCAGCTCTAACTGACAAGGCCCACTCAGTGTCTATCATTGGGATTGAGACAGTCCCCTTTAAAAAAGCTCTCGGGGAGAAAGTAGGGAAAGCCATAATGAAGGTAGGGACACAGTTATGAAGCGTCTCCAGAACACTATCATAGTAACTCTCTCTGCTCAATATTCCCATTAACCACAAGACCATGTGGTCACTGTGTCTGTGGTGTGTTTTGTGTTCTGCAGCTGTTCGAGGTGAACAGGGTGAAGTTCTACATGCTGAACGAGGTGTCAGAGATGATTGGCCATCATGGAGAGGTATTCAGAAAGTGAGAGAAACAGCGTGACGTGATGCTCAGCAGCACTACCCTCTCTTGTTTAATCCATGAAGAAGATGAGTCCGATAAAAAACACATGAATATTAACCAAAGTAAAAGACATTTGGTGTGTGTCAACCAGCCCCTGAAAACTGTGGTGCAAACAACCTCGTAATTATTATATAAATAATTATAATAAAGATTCACTCCCTGAAACTACATACAGCACTAGACACACATTGGCAGAAACTTGTCTTCTGTATTGTGTGTATTGTGTTTACTGCATGTAGGACCCCATCACTTTAAGTTGCGGTCAGAAAAGGGTTTTTAGGTTTTTTTAAGGAGTTAATGTTACATTATGCATCTTTAGTGCAGTAGTATGGCCTGGACATTTTGTTTTTCCTGTTTACACAGCTGAAAGAGGTGGTACTGAAGAGTGGAAAAGTCCTGCGGGCAGACGTGTGTGTCATCGGCGCAGGTAATGTCGAAGATGATGCAAAATGTACCTTTCATTATCTGCAATGACATATAATTAATGCAGATTTTGAAAATTGTAGCAGCTCCATATTTACCCTGTTTTTCACTCATGTGTCTCAGGAAGTATTCCTGCAACGGGCTTCCTGAAACAGAGCGGCATCCACATGGACTCCAGGGGCTTCATCACTGTTAACAAGGTATTTTGCAAAATACTTGAAGCCGGAATGAAAGTGTTTCATTGTTTATTTACTCCTCTAAACTTTCTCCCAGATGATGCAGACAAATGCTGATGGGGTTTTTGCTGGAGGAGATGTGGTGGTGTTTCCTTTCCCGCCACGCAACAACAAGAAGGTGAACATCCCCGTCTGGCAAATGGCTCATGTACACGGTGAGTGTGTCATCCTGACTGCATATTAAGGCTGTTTTAATTTACTGTGACGATGATTCAAGTTCTTAAAGACGAGCATGTAAATGTTCCTTGTTTTCATACCTATACTGACAGGAAGGGTGGCAGCTCTGAGCATGATGGGCAGAGCCGCTGACATCAAAACTGTGCCTTACTTCTGGTCTGCCATGTTTGGGAAGACCATACGCTATGCAGGTAGATGTCCCTCTTTGGTTTCAAGAGTCTGGTTATGAGGCACACAAAGAGGTTGAATAACAGCTGAATTGTGCTGTCAAGTGGAGTTACCACACTGCCATCTAGCTGTAAAGATCAAAATAAAAGCCGAACTGAGAGCCTGAATTGGACTGTTTTTCTTTATGCTTTTGACAAACACACGTGCATGTGTATAATCGTCTATTTGTGAAGGTTATGGTGATGGATTTGATGACGTCATTATACAAGGAGATCTGGATGAACTGAGATTTGTGGCGTTTTACACCAGGTACGTTTCATTTTTCATAACAATCTTAAATAAACAGAAGATATGGATGAATATTGTGTCATCTTCCTCCTTTGGTTTATCTGCAGGAGTGAAGAGGTGGTCGCTGTTGCCAGCATGAACTATGATCCTATTGTATCCCGAGTGGCAGAAGTCTTGGGATCCGGAAAGACGATTAAGAAACGAGATGTGGAGTAAGTCTCCCTCCAAGATTTAAATATGATGACGGTTACAATCGTTCTTTAGGTTTCTCAGGTTTTACTGAGAAGAAAAACAAGACTCTGACAGAAAAACACGTGACTTTAATCACATGGAAAGTATTATAAGACTACAGCTTATTGAAATTAGAGAGTACTACAGAAAAATAACACCAGTTGTTGTTTTGTTAATTAATAAAGTGACGCTTCATTTTACGTGTTACGTAATTTTTAAATGATTGCTGTGGACGTTGTCTGGAAAACAACAATGTTATTTTGTGCTTATTATAAGGAAAATAATAGACAATAGTAAAGAAAAAGTTCTGTATATTAGGTACCCACTAATTTTTAAAGAAGAACAAAGAAATTATATAATGATATAGTTATATAGTTGTGTAGAGCTTCTAATCAGTTATTAATATCTAGAGGAATTGCAGGCAACACTTTACTTGAATCCACCTATTAAGTATTTTTTAAGCACATTTAAACATTCAATACATTTTTTACAACATACTATAATGTTGTCGTATACGGATATTAAAAACATTGTTTATTAATGTATTTGTCAACAATTTTTTAGATTTTTTTATAAAAACACTTTTTTGGATAAATGAGTTATTAACTCATGTTGCTGTACTTGCATTACTGTATTGTTACTGCATACATTTCTGTCTGATTTGTTCCTCATGTGTCTCATGTCTTTCATTTCTAATAATGCAAACTCAAAATTTGAAGGATGTTAGCACGGCTTGGCAAGTACGGATAAATATGAGCTTTTTCTATTTTAAATTTCACTGATATTGACCATGTGCAGCAGAAAGAGGACTTGATAAACGCGTATGTGTGTGTTTGACTTACTGTTTTTTGGGGGTTTGCAGGACTGGAGACATTTCTTGGCTGATTGACAAAGGCTCTCAATGACTTCACATCTGAAGGACAGACCCAAAGTCCACTGGACAACTCAATATGGACACTTATGGTGCTGAGAAACTGAGCAGCTATCCCGGTCTGGATACACACACACACACACACACACACACACACACACACACTGGGGACAGGACCGTGTCTGTTGGAGACACACTCTCCTGAGGACGACACTGAGACTTGCTTTTGTTCCTGAGAGACACTTAAGGTGACAAACGGAGCCGTGCACGGTCTGAATACACTGAATCGCTGTGTTGGTGGGTCTTTCATTACAAATTTCACAAACAAAGCCAGATTCAGCCTCTGTGCTGCTGCAAGATGTATCTACCTGTACACTTTGTTTATAAGAAGCCAGGGATGGGCATTGGCATTTTTTTGTACAAATAACATTGTATATAGATATAATCCTGAATGCACTGTTACAAGATAAGAACATACAATTTGAACTGAAGTTTTAAATAACAGGTTTGGTTGTATGCTCACATTCAGGCCTTAGATCTGCATGCTATAACTTACTTTGATGGATGAGTTAAAAAAAACAAGTCCCTAAACTGTGAGTATTCAATTTAGATGAATCCGCAAAAAAAAATCTAAAATCTGCTAAAAAAAACAAACTGCAGAAGATCCCTGAACGCAGCTTTAACAGACTCACTAACACACACATGCAGCTTTAATTTGTGATAAATGACAATTTGTAGAATTACAACATCTGTGTGTTGGCTGTCTTGCTACTGTATTAGATTGAACAAATTCAATTAAATCCTACTTTGATCACAGACTAGTGCATGCACAATAGATTCATGTATTTTCCAGAGAATACCCCTTTAGATCAATCCAATATAGAAGTTTCGGGTTATTTTTGATAGCGGTCATCTCCATTGGGATATTCTTTGTTACTAACTCAGGGAACTGAGGTTTGTCACCTGGACTTACAGGCAAGATAAGCAGAAATTAATTTGTTGCTTTCATACTTGTTTTCCCAGTTATTGTAATTTCACCGGTTCTCTTATGTTCATTCAGAATTGCTTGTAATGGGTATAAAGCGGATGCTTGATTACATCCTGGTGTGCCGATGTAAACCCTGAGTCAACTCAGCGTTTTAAAAAGCATCATTCTTCCTGCAGAGAAGCCCGGAAGGGCATTTTTATAACTAAACTTTTAAATAAAAGTCTTCCAACAATAACTGCTCACTGCTTTACATAACGTCTCATTCTCATGTTACTCCACCTGTTGTTTGTGTGTGCATTCTTCAGTTTATTAAAACCAGGAGAACAGTAAATAGTGAGCAGAGTGAAAGTCAGTCAAAAATGTTTAATGATTTTCAAGTGACATAGCATAGTTTGCAGGAGTTTCATTCTTTGAGTCGGGATTACTGAAAAACATCTAGTCAGTTGAGCCTCGCTTTCATACAATATAAATATTCTGGGTAAAATTACACAGAATAGATAAATTCACACACGTACAAGTTTCACAAATTTATAAATGAAATATCTCATAAAACAAAGATGCTTCCTAATGAGGACAATACCTGGGAGGCATCTAACACACACAGTGCAAACTGACAGTGTTCACAATGATATTGCAAACGACCCGTTGAGGTTTTTCTACATTATTTGGGTAAAAAGCACCTTGAAGACTTATAAATATATCTATAAAAAGTGGAGTAAAGGCATTACATGGTGTTGTAGTCATCAAACTAGATTTGAGTTACACAGATCTATAGACAGCATGAAGGGTTCAGCGTTCATTAACTAGGAGATACACATGAAAGCAGGGACAGACTCCACTGCTCACCAGTTTCACTATACTGTTGTGATAAAGTAGTTTTTGTAAGTACTATCACATGATGATGATTTATCAATGATAATATCTGATGGCTGCACAAATCACACAACAAAACAAACATGGACAGAGACTCTTTGGAGGCAGGAGAAAGCTTCTTATTGGTATGAAGATTTGACAAAATGTCCGTCTATAATGCCTAAGTATTATCACAGCTAACAGTGAAACACAAGAGAAGGTCATTCTAGCACCTTGTAAAGACAACATGACTTCAGGACGGTGCTGTGACATTTGAGGACTTCGACTATATGAAGAAATTAAGGGGAAAAAATTCTGGCATCAACGTTTATGTACTACAAAAACTGGAAAAAAAAAAGATTCACATTATGAAATTGTTTTCATCAAACAACTAACAATGACTGCTTCTCCTGTACTAACTAATAAAGGCACTTGATCTTTAAGAAGCTCTTGAGATGATACACGTTGGCAGAGATATCTGCTGCATTTTGAGGCACATCCCCGACTGAGAGGAGAGAAACCTGATCATTTGGTGGATCGTCATCTGCTTAAAAAGTCCCACTGATTCCTGAAAACACCCAAACACGCGGGTAAACTGTCTTCAGCTGACCCTCGGGGTCAGAGGTCATATTCTGCTGCACACTGCTGGAGGTACCACTCATACAGTTTCCCCTGCGGAGGAAAATCAATTGTGTGAGAAAATTCACAATTCTGATGTTTCAGATTTGACAAATTAAATGTAGTTAGTTCATTTAAAACTGCACTGAAGTTATAATCATTTAGATATTCATGAAATATTGGGATAAGTTATGGTCTGCTTTTTTTGTTGCAAATTCAATGTGTTCAAATTCTTCTTCAAAAGACTTCTTATGCATGAGGGATTCACAGGAAGTGACGCTGCATGGAATCCAGCTTTACACTTTGTAATTGTATTTAAAATTACTAAACCTACTGACATATTACTACTTTTGTATAGTTGTTGTGTAAACGTGTTAGCAGTTAGCAGTAAAGTTGTGGTTTCGTAAAACCAAAACAATTAACTGAAATGAAAGAGCAGCAGAGTCAAGTAATCATTTTCCTCTGTGTGTTTCTAAGGACACCTTCTGCATTAAACAAAGTTATTATACATGTTATTACTGCGGCTTTAACTTCTGTACTAGACGTGGCATAATGGCACAAAATAGAATCTAACCTTCTTGGTTTTGATGATATCCTGGATATAATCACTGTACTCTGCCATCGTCCTCTTCTCTTTCTTCGTCAGAGTCTTATTCCCTCGGCTGAGAATGAAGAACATCACAACAATAATCACGTCCTCTGGGTGTGTGTGTGTGTGTGTGAGAGAGAGTGTGTATATGTTTGATGTGAAGCTACTTCAATATAAAACACACACCCTCCTTGATAAAATTGAAAAAGCTCTACTTTATTTAGACATTTCTCTGAGGGTTTAGGTTATTGATGTTAAGTGTTTAGTTTTAAGTACCTTGGTTCACGTATGGACCAAATGGTCATGTGCATGTGTGTAAGGCTGCAATTTACAACTAAACCATTCTCAGTTAATCATTTGTTCGACAAAAAAAATCTGAAAATACTGTCGTATAATAAAATGTCCATTAGAACTTCCTAAACCCAAAAATGTCTTTGTCTTGTCTGATAAATAGTCCAAAATCCAAATCAATGATCATTTTTTTCTCTTTCTAACAAAAAGGAAATCACTTAAATAATTAATCGGTTATCAAAATAGTTAGATTCATTTTCTGTTGATCATTTGATTTATGAATCAATTATTTTTTTCCGGCTCCACATGTGTTTATGTTTGTATTGTACATTTGTAGCACTCACCCTGCAAAATACTTTGCTAGGAACAGCAGGAGGTAGCAAAAAGCTCCAAAAATGATGACAAACACAACTTGTCCATCTTCTGGTATCCAGTCCCATAAATAAATCACCATGCCCTGTGAGAAACACGTTGAAAAGACAAATGTGCAAAATATGAAATGAAATTATAATTTATTGCAATGTTATCCCCAGTGTGACTCTCTGGACTCACTGTGAAGATGGAGAGGGTCCGGGCCGGTCCTTCACCCAGCAGCTCATCTAGCTGATCTTTGGACAAGGTGTTCACAATGAAACTGAGGATAAAGAGGACGGGGAGGAAAACGCCCTGAGCGCCACACAAGAACGAGTGAAGACGGACGCTTTTGTTGTGAGCCACATCAGCCCTGCGTGCACACGCAAGAAATCTGATTTAATATCACATTTTCTGCAGCATATAATAATATCGGGTGACTCTTATCTCCGTATACACACAATATGGTTTATTTGCTCCGAGATGCCGCCTGTCATTTTGTATCAGGATAAATTAGATTTGAACACAGTAGCATGTGCTATGCTGTAGGTTGAGAGGTCAAACCTGTCCTGCTCTAGTCTGCTGCTGATGGTAGAACACATAAGGTCACAGTCTTTCTCCAGCTGATCCAAAGTCTTTTGAACAGCCTGGTTGATGGTCTTCTCGATGGTCTGACACACCCCATCGATCTGGTTCACACAGCGGCTCGGCTAAACAAGACAAAGGCTCATAAGTGCATCCGTTTTTGAATAATTGTACAAAGATGTGCGGCTAGAAGAGGGTCGGTCTGGACGACTGTCCTGAGGGTATTTTGACTGACAGCCATGTGCACTTAGCAGGAAGTGAAGCTACACTTGCTCAGCGAAAATAAAATGGAGCTCGGGAGGTGTGCACAAATCTACCGTGCAGAGAAGAGCTTTGTGGTTGTAGGTCACCAGATGGTGCAGCAATAACTCAGGACTGGGGCTGCCATTGTCAAAGGCCATGGTTTACAACCCCCCACCCCCCCACCCCCAGAGTGGATAACTCTACCAGTCATCATATTGCAAAATTAATCATCCTTTTCCAGCCATCAAGAGCCACCAGGAAACCTGGGGTGGAGAATTTACATTCAAGGATAATAAATGGCCCCTGAGGGTAGCAGAGAGCTTTAAATCCAGACCTAAGATCAGACCTGGACCTGAGGTCTGATGAAGGAAAACACCAGAAACAGCTCCAATCTGGTGGTGGGAGGAAACACTGCATTTGGTTTATTTTTTAAAAAATGAGCAAACTACATCCTGTTAAATGGCCATCAGGGGAACATATGGGGCCGGCTCCCAGTCTTACCCTCTGTGGGTTGGGGATGTATATTGTAGGCATATCAAAACCACATTTGTTGAGACCTGGACGGCGACACAGCTCCTGGACTATCTGCATCATCACCCTCTGCAGAAATAAATAAATATAGGTCATGTTTTTAGGACTTCTTTGGCTGCAAATCTATCGAAATGAAAAATAAGCCACATATTAAGTGAACTACCTGTCTGTCTGTTTCCTTCCCAGCTTCGTCTGCCTTGCTGAGGTAGAACAACAGTTTGTCTCCGCATTTCTCACTCAGCTTCTCTACGATGTTGAGTGTGCGTTTGCAGAGCGCCTGGCCCATTGGGTCAAAGAACACAAATACCAAGTCGGCCTGTTCTCCTGCACAAAACAAACATCCATTAGTGAAAAGCAACAGCTGCAGAGAAGACGGTAAAATGTACAGCTGCAAAGACATACCCAACCATGTGATGGCGCTGTTGACATCAAAAGGGTAGACCATGTCTCCGTCCACCAAACCCGGTGTGTCCACAAATGTCACCAGACTGAACTTCTTCTGCTTGGAGGTGGAGATCTCAGCAGACAGATAGTCCGTAACACCTGGAATATACAAACACTGAGTGCGCATACTGTAGGTGCTTCCTTCACAAAGACAAATTCCTTGTAAATAATTAAGAGTTTAGTCCCGATGAAAGCCGTTTCCTCTAATGGCTATATAATTCTTATGTGCCAGTGCAAACTGCAGTGCGGTCAATACTTGGAAACCTGAGGGAGGCCGGTGACACGAAAGATCAGGAACGCAGTCAACATTTTGTGCTTGTGGGTTTGCATTTGGAATACATTTAATTTCATTTAAAAAACGTTCATCTGGTTAAAGATGTGTGTTAGCCGTCTACACGCACTAACACGCATGAGAAAAAAGCATCAATAAATTCAGATTGAACTCAAACAGCAGACACACCCTCACAGATAGAAACGTCATCACTTTCAACGCAGGAAACATTTGTCAGGTGTCGGTTTTCTCATCGTCCGTTGTCATGGTTACACACAACAGCTCTTCAACTGGCAGCTTTAGCACGCGGCGTCGGACATAAAGCTAGCCAGTGAAGAACGACTGTGAGGCAACGCGCTGCGAGGTTACTACAAGTCTCCTCCACAACCCCCGACTCTGAGCACCAGAACAGCATCACTATTTAGACACTATTGACACACACACACACACACACACACACACACACACACACACACACACAGAGGCCTGGGGTGACACTGAGGCTGTTTCATAGGAAGAGGCAGGTGTTAACAGCCAGCACAAATCCCATCCTTGTGCTGCAGCGAGCAGGGCCACTGCTGCTTCGGCACATTAGCGTTCCCTTATGTTTCTCTTACATCGGCATGGCCACAGTATCGATGCATCTGCCTCCTATCACACATCTTAGAAGTGTATTCCCACAGTCTCGCAAGATCGAGCCACGATTGTCTCGCCCTGAGGTGACAGGATGACTGTTGCTACGGTAGGACAAGCATCATATATATATGCAGATGTTATCAAGCAGCTTCTTGTCAGATCAGACGGCCGGTCTATACTTCCCTTACACATGCATGCATCTTTGCATTACTAAAAATACAAAAACAGCAATTATGTAAGCCCATTTAATAGCAAGTGAATCAAATAAGCCTTGATTCAGACATATTCTTCCACTCTATTTGAAGAAAGTCCTCTGATGGTGAAAAGGAAACGAGAGCGATACTTGCCAATGGCTGCTAAGTTCCTCAAGTGACTGTAACTGAGAAGGCTACACTGGAGATCCTGTGCACGAGGGAAAAGGGCAAAGGCTGCGATAATGCTGCATCGACCAAGACTAAAAAAGAACTACTGTAGTTGGACAAAACAGGTGAAACCAGACGCAGTTCAAATACATCTTAAGGAAATTACTAAACAACACGGCCACAAATCTTTGTTGTTTAGCAATATTGAGCCATTTGAAATCAGTTGACCCCCATGCAGCATAGAGTCTAAACTGACAACAGGTTGATAAGATAAATACAAGAACATCCGTTATGTAAGTCTAAAACAATATTAAGAGGTATCTCCAAGCATTCCCCAAAGGAGGTCAAACTGTATAGTCGGCAGCTTCTCCCACAGGATGTATGGTGCTTTTCTGATGAGTCATCCTCAGTCCCTATGACAGGTAAACAAACGCCTGATGAAGTGCATTTCCAGAGGCGGCGTTGAATTTCCAATGAAAAGCCTGCTTGTATTCCAGCAGCAGGTCGTTGGTGCTGCTCGGGGCCCGCAGAGTGGAGCTGCTGCCGGGTTGTGCCGTCTCTAATGGCTGTGACATTTCTCAGCAGCTCCTCCTGACTCCACTGCACTGCTGTCGATGGGGCGTGTGCCTCACGAGCCATACCGTGAGCGCTCCGGTCCGCACCCAGTGAACCCTAACTCTCTACACGCTCACTGTCAAACGCATGCACATACATTACCGCCCTCCCCCCTCCACACTGATGCTCCCACTCAGACAAGCAGGCACACCCAGACTCTCTGCACGACCACCTCAACATCCAGAAGCTTCACACCACTGCTGACGCACAGAGAGCTGAGACCAATCGTCTTAAAAAAGAAAATATGCCGCTAATTACGTCTCTTTCTTTCATGTGACAGTTATCTGGACTCCCATATCTCAGAAACAAACAGTACAAATGTGATGAGATGGGAACAGGAGCCTGGTCTGATTTATAAATAAAATGTAATACGTCAAAGATGTGACTCAGCGCTGAATCATCAAGGTGAAGCACCTGAACTGATAACTGAAACATACAATTATGAGCGACACAGAGGATTAAAACAGGATTTCAGTTGAATCGGTTTATCTAAAATAGCAACATTTCCAACTTCTGAACTTGAACTGAGTCTGTAAGATACGCTTAGATTAACTTCAACAGCTCCCATTAGGAAACGTGCCACACAGCAGAGCTCTATCTTAAACCTCAGAGGAACCAATCTGTGGCTGCAGCTCAAGATTACATTCAACTCCTGCTTACTGTCCCTAATGCTGCTTCTCCCTGCGTTCCAGCTAATTTTAACACTTTACCCTCTCTTTGATGTTTTCCATCATGATGCCAGCAGGGGGGGGGGGGGAATCAATAAAAACACAATTATTTGCATTTCTCAATTGCACAAAAGTGATGACAATAATTAGAATTTTCAGGTATTAGGGAGACGTTAATGAGCATGTGTTGAGCACTAAGACTGCAGCGCTGAGCTCAACATCGCACAAAAGGAAGCAACATGTCACGCTAGTTTCATTATCAATTGCAGGGAGACGCAACACCACTCGGATCACATAAAACATGTTCTTTTATGTGAGATATTTAGAAATGCGATGCAAAATGTACACATGATGGTTAATATAAGAACAGAAAATGGATTTCAATTGAGGATAAGGGTATCACAACATTATCAGAACAACCATACGTCTACTTTTCAGAGAGTCATTATGACTTCACACTGATGCTAAAACAAGAAGAAAAGGCTCACCTTTGAACTCAAGGAGTGGTCGAAAGTGAGGATAGAGATGTAGCATTGCATTCCCCTGTGAAAGAGTGAAAAAGACAATGTGAGAAATAACCCGGTGAGATAAATACTAATCTGCAGTTCGCCTGAGCTCCCGTCCGCTGCTACAGAGTTCTCTCTCTTCTCAGTACTTCGCACTCAGTCATCCAGAAGCTGCTGGGCTGCAGCTCACTGTGCTGGCTTTAAGCTTTTCCTGTACATAAGAGATAATCCTTCCACTCTGCAGTCCTGCACTGCAAATATATTATTCATCTTCGTCACCTTCATCGCAGCAGTATATGCACAGAGAGGCAGAGGAAGAGGATGAGCGAAGACTGAGAGGCAGACGTCTCCCGAGCCTGTTTATATGCTGCAAAGAGGCATCCATGTGTGTGTGTGTGTGTGTGTGTGTGTGTGTGTGTGTGTGTGTGTCAATACAACAAAGCCCCTCATTGGAGCAGCATACAGAATGAGAGATCGCCACAGACTGAGGGAGTGCCCCTCCATACAGGCTGACATCCAACGCATTGCTTCATCAACCTTTATGACCGGATGCAGCTTCCGTTCTCATTACTGAAGTTAGAAATTCAAAAATCTCTCATCCACAAAACTGAGAAGTACCGTCTGAATATGAACTACGGATAATTAAAAACTGATCTGGAAGTGAATTATAACAGCATTCAAATGAAGCATGCCGCACAAAGCTGGTTGTATTTATCGTGTTTCTCTTTTCAAGCATTAGTTGGTACTTCTGTTGAAGGGCTCTTCATCTGATCTTACACACATTAAGTTCTTCAGTATGAGTGCTGAAACGTTGGCCGTCTTCATGCCGTTCTTACCGTCAGTGATTCTCTTTTGCGACCACTTGTGATGAACGTGAACCCCTGTGTTTCAATGGCGACACCTGCTTTCTGTATGTGCTCCTCCGCATACCTAAAATAACAGCAAGAGGCATCAAAGGCATCAAATACTATTATCTTTGATATTGCATTCATAAGTGCACAAGATCTAAAGCAACAACACCGTACCTCTACATTATAGGGCTGCAACTATTGTAATAATTATTGTATCGATTGCTTTTACAGCTAATCATTAATAGTGCAGTTTTAAATGTCATACAGCAGGTAAAGCTAAAAATCCTCACATTTTTAGAGGCTTGAACAAGTGAATGTTTAGCCTTTTGTCAATTCATTTTCTGTCGATCAACAAATGAATTAATTGTTTGATCACTTCAGCACCAAGTCTGGAGCCTGTGTCAAAGGGTAGTTTATATGTTAGAGGATCGGTTAAAGGTGATCTTTGGTGTTTTAATTTATTAACACCTCACGTGGTCAGAGAATAAGCTACACAATGTCAAATAGGAAAAATCTATTTAAAATGTAAATTAAAGTAATTAGTTTTCAATAGAAAACTATAAGACCATAGATATTTTGCTGTGGCGTTTTAAGTGGGTGGTGGTCCCTATCCCAATATGTATTGGGTTGTATGAGACTGTTGTGGGCAATGTTGCTATCAACGTTTATGGATTATTGCCATAAAGTACCTGACTTTATCAGTTGTATAAGCCAAAAATAGATATTTGATTATTTTACCTCCAAATGGGTAAATAAAATGTATCGCTTACTTGTAAAAGCTCATAAAGGATAAAAAGGAATACAACTGTGGAATAAGGTCATACTTTCTTCTGTTTTAGTTTTCTGGAACAGAGCATGAGAAGCTGAATGGTAAACTGTAGATCCCATCAACCTACAGATGTATTACCAGTTAATGAAGGAGCTCTTCCCTGCAGAGTGGTTACCCATTATCATCACAATGATCTTCTTTCTGGGAGGAAGGAGTCGGACTCCGAGGCTGCTGGCAATCTTCACCAGGCCTGAACACAAACATGTACACACACACACACACACACACACACACACACACACACACACACACAAAGTAAGCAGCGCATGTAGCAACTACAGAGGCATCATCACAATCATGTAAAGTGTGTGTATATGTGTGAGTGTGAACAATGTGGTTTTTAAATAGCGATAACTTCTTCAGATTTTGGTCTTAGTCACCTAAGATTTCTTTCAGCAAAAAGTCATTTTTCAATGTTGTTTTATGCTGAATGACTTATGAAACATATGAGCACATCCCTGTAAACACACGATGTACAAAGGTGCTTTTGTGTGATTCTTTGTATTTAACTAATTTTCCAGATCTGTAAATAAAGTATTCAATAAGTCGACAAAATTGTGTTAGTCGACTAAGACATTTCTTTTGTTGAGGACAGCCCAAAAGAAAAAGGGTAATTTTATTTTACAACTGATTTAAAATAATTTCCAAAGAGGTTTCCTTGAAAGAATAATCTACTATTTGAAGGGGAAATTAAGACAGAGTTCAGATGGTACATTTTAAATGAATTAATTCCAATTAATCGCTCTTGTAACCCTGAACGTTTTCTAGTCACGGTAGGGCAGGTTAGCTGAACTTTTGTCAATATAATATTTATATATATAAGAAGTTACATGGGTATAGATTACATTTTTCTTTCAAACTAATTAGGGCTGAAATAATTTCTGGATTTGTTGAACAATAGATTATTTTGATGATGGATTAGGCTAATTTTAATAATTCTTTAGTCAATAATAGTGAAAAAAGCCAGATATTCTCTGGTGCTTTCCATTTGACATGTATCATCATAAACTGAACATATTTGAGTTTTGAACCGTTGGTCAAACAAAACAAGACATTTAAGATGACGTCTTGGTCTCCGGGGAGTTGCGATGGGCATTTTTTTCACCATTTTTGTTCATTTATTAGACTAAAAACCAACTGATTAATTAGAAAGAAAATCAGCAGGTTAATCGATGACGAATCATAAGTTGTTGGGGGGGAAAACCCCAAAAGAAGACATTCCTTTAATCATTAATAAATTACTTTGGAATTTATTTGAGAATTAAGTTTTTTAAAAATAGAAAGCTTATAAATGGAGCTCAAATGTATTACCTGGTCTATGCTCTATACTCTGGTTATGCACAATCCCTCATTATTCACTATGAATCTATAATGAAACGATTCATGATTAATGAACCTGTTTATAATTGTCGTCAGAGAGGCATGTTACTGTTTCTGTCTCCTCTATTACACCAGAGTAAACTATTATACTGTAATAACTAAAACAAGACATACTGTAGCAACACACCACCTCAACGTGCTGTGAGAGCCAGGTCTGCACAAACAGAGTGAACTACACAGTGTAACAGCATTATTGTTATTATTGAAGACAACACATTTCTGCAAATATTTACCAGAACTATAAAACTAATTTTCTCATTTGTAAATCAACTCCACTGGGCTGAACTGCTTATTGTACAGTATATTACAGAAGGCTCTGTTTACGCCCGTTCCCCTCATGTGTATGTAACATTGTGCGTAATGGAACCTGTCAGTTTATTGGCTGCAGTCAGATAGGCGCTGTCCTCCGGAGGAGCCACACCAGTGTTCAATGTCACGTGTTTTACTCTGACAGACAGCTGCTTCACTCATTAACCGAGCAGCGTTTTAGTTTTACCTTCAGTACAAACTTCAGTCCTACGAACCCCTGACTTACATAACAGCACGACTATGCGTGCTAAGTTGGATCTGCTTTACGGTCCTAACTTCGCTATAACGTCGACTCATATTAATCCGCGTTATTGATTATTTACCGTTCTCGCTGTCGACATATAAACTGTGGCATTCTTTCAGTATCCTCTCACTCGGTGTGGTGATCGCAGACTCCAGAGGGTTTGCCACAGACCGGAGCTTTCTGCCCGACATTGCGACCACAGCCACCAGCCGCCTCGCTGCTGTTTCTTAAGCCATCAGCGGAAGGGTTTCAGTGTTGCACAAGGGCTCCCGTGTGCGGATGAAGCGACTTCTTGCGGTCAAACAGTGACACGACAGCGAGGACAGACTCATCATGAGCAGGCAACAGGTTACTTTTCAAGGACTTGAACCTTGGACCTGCCTCAATTGTTTGTCTGCCGGTTTATTGTTTTTATTGGACACATGACCAGGACTAAGATGTCTGCAGATGGAAATCAAATGATGTTGTTGATGGATCACGTACTAAAAAAGTACTTTCTCCTTCCTAACTCTGACAGACCATATTATTAAGTCCAGCCAGTTATAATCAGGGCCATCAACATTGATCTGGTTGGATTGGACCTGCCTGGTTTGGTCATGTATGATGGAGCTATCTGGAGTTATGCATTTGTTGACAGAGCCATGGTCTGTTTGGAGACCACTAACAAGGTAAACCAACATCATCAGTCAACATAACAGTAGTTTGTAGAAGCATTTGTGAAACAACACAGATATGATGGGTTATAGTGGGACTTGCCATGCCCGCCACATTTACTTTAATAGAACTGGCACCAATGCAAAACTAGATTTGCCGTCAGGATGACGTCATGACCTCTCCTTCTTTTATAGGTTCCTTGCAGAAAATGAGCCGTACAAAGTTGTCATAAATCTGATGACAGCAATGTGCTTTCACTACGCTGTGAGTGTGAGCATGAAACATTAAATGGTGAGTTAGCTAGCTAGCTTGCTGATTCCTCTGATTTCATTTTAAATCAACATCATGACGTCTTCACCCTCTTATAGGTGCATTAATCACCACAACTGAGTGTGGATTTAGAAGATCATGTATTTTCCATGATGTCTTTGTCATCGAGCAGATTTTCAATGACGACAACCATCAACAGTTAAAGTTGACATTAATTCAGTTTGCTGCAAATTACTTTTGTTTCTTCCTGTAAGGACAGTTGTTGACCAGTCTTCTCCTCAAACTGTCCGGATAGACGTTTAGAGGAGCTGGCAGAGACCAGTGCAGACAGACTGGGAGCCATCACATCTGCTGCTGGTGTGATGCTAGGTAAGTGAAGCAGTCAGTCTATGTGTTATTATTTAAGTATTATATGAAAAATTATGATGCAACAAAAATGGACTTTCTGGCTTGAGGGTTTGCAGCATCTGACCTTCTGTTGTGTTTTTCATTACTGTTAGGCTTCAGCTGACTCACTTATTGGGTTTTTAATGTGTTCCTGTGGGAGATTAGATCGTTGTAGCTGCTAAGGATATAGTGTGGTTGAAAAACGTAAAAAACGAAATACTTGAAATTAAGACTAAATGGAATAGACTGTGAATACACATTTAATATTAAATAGGTCTTCACAATGCAAATGTAGTTGCAGTTGCCTAGAAATATTGTTCTCAGACTTCTTTCTCCTTTCTTTCTCTTCCCTCCAGTGATTGTCGCAGCAGGTGAGATGGTATAGACATCCTGACGGGGCTTCAGTTCCACAGCTCTAGCTTACAACACAAGGTGCAGGAAACGGAGACACGCTTGCTGCATCTGGCCAGAGCGGGGGAGAAAAAGGGGTGACATTCAAAACACAGATCAACACCTTTCTGCCACTGAGTTATGTAAATCCCTCCGCTATGTCTCAGCGGAAGGATGAATGTGACTCATCAGTTACGGATGAAATTGATTTTCACTCTTCACTCTCAAACCAATTTTCACTGAGATTTTCTGCCCACAAGCACTCAAACCTTTACGTAACAGAAAATAGAGAGAGAGAGAACACACATCAAAACAATGCTAATTATGAGTGAGAAAGAAAACACACGACCCTATTTTTTTTTTTCTTCAATTTCATAACATTTCACAAACATTTTGTATCTTGACCATAAGAAAGAGCGCTAAATTCATACAATCAAACAAACGTGCCTGGATTAGAGTTAAAGATGCAAACCTAAATGAGACTATGGAGGTTGTCGGGGACATTAAACATATTATTTTCATCCTACTCTGCTATTGTAATGTCAGCTGCCCACTTGTGACATCAAAGCTTTATTACGGTCATTTTTGGTCAGGAACAAATGAGGGATTAACTCAAGTAATGGCTCGATTAAAGAGAAAGTCCACCCAAAACCCCAAAAGATATTGTTATTTATTATTGTTTTTGTTGTTTATTTGTGTTGTGAACATACAAGTGCCCGGCCCACATGAACTTAGGCTACATAAAAGACACCAAAAATAACGTTGCAGTAGTGAAACAATATTTATAAAACATATAAGCATTACATTTTAAACAGACAAACATTTACCCTCTTGCTTCCTTTCTAAAACTTAACACTAGTCTTTTATAATTAACCAGAAGAAGACATGCAGAGATTAAGAACATTTTACATATAATTGCCAACAACACATATATTTTTATTTACAATTTCATCTACATTCATATACAAAATAAAGCCTATTCCCTTCGGGTGAGACCATTAATACTTCCTGTTGCTGAGCACACAGAGATCTGATTTCAATGATAATGGAGTCTAGTAGCTCAAACATGTTTTGTTTTATATTACACACAAATTAGGTTTTGTTTGGAAGGAGGGCTTCTAGCTGTGAATCACATGGTGTTCCTAGAGCTTCTCGTCACATGTTTCTTTTATCTGCTGTGTGTGGAGCAGCTCCAGGATCGGTCTGAGGGTGACATAATCACTGCACACTGTCTGCTGCTCACACAACTGAATTGTACATTTTCAGGGAGTAACAGGAGTGGGAGTAGTAGGGAATGTGTCGGTTCTATTTTGTGGTGGGTTTTCACTTTCTGGTTTAAATGGCCAGACTCTGGTGTGACTCAATTCTTGCAGGATCAAAAGTTTTTGGCCGGTGAACACTTTGGGTGTTACGTACAGAACAGCATGCCCCTCAGAGTGATTATGAGCTGATATTGGCATCAATTAAGAGCAACTGATGTTGACTTGTACTTGAGTTTATAAATGAGTTGTTCTGTCATAGACCTAAAGTTAATCAACACATGTGACAACCATTGATGTGATTGCACATTAGGCCAGAAACAGAAAAATGCATTCATCTTTTAAAACGGAATCAAATTTAATTTATTCTTTTATGTTCTACTGACTTGACAATAAACTTGGGATGAAAGCACTTAAAGCAGGCCATATTTATACATTTTTAATATGATAATAACAGTAATTTCAAAATATTTAAATATGTAATACTGAAAATACTATTTCCAGGCAGTTGTATGACTCATGGTGTACTCTAGTAGTCTACAGTCTTCTGCTGATCATAATGTTTTCTGGCACATGAATGGAGAACATTGGAATCATGACTGTTTTGTAGGAATGGATTAAAACTAGGTATCTCACATAAAGTGTCCCATTCAATTCATTTAGACAACAAGGGCTAAATATTATTTCTGTATTTGTGTCAGCAGACCCGTCTTAAGCCTCAAACCCATTCAGGAATGTGCTTTAACCAGTTAATGAGTCTCCCCCCTGCAGCTGAGATCATACACTTCACCTTACAATAGGCTGCCTTTATATTCGTGCTTCGACTGAAGTGGAACATCCATTATAAATGGTCCATTCAAACATTATACCGGAGCTTCCCAGAAATGAACTTCGATGAGGAGTCTGTGCAACCAAAGAGAGAGGTGAGTTTGAATCAACCCTCGAAAACCCTGTTAACATCTTAGGAGGAGTTACTTTGTTTTGACCTGTAGCCAGTAAATATTTTTGCCATCCGGACATCCGAAGTCATCATTTTATCACTGCGATGACATGTATGTGGAGCAGTGGGAGGGTTTGCTGCAGAAAAGCAGGTGTTGGGGCTTATTTTTTATTTCTTCATACATTTTGTATTGTTATTCTTGTTGGATGATGCTCAAATGAATAGTAGTCGGTGCCAAAGTTAGTGTAAAGAAGAATCAAATGTAGTCTAAAATCTATGTGGTACCTCTTCTTAATGAGACACTCTTTATAAAGGGATTATAAGTTGTAAAACTTTAGTAATGGTTAATATATCATTTGTATTCATGTTGTGAAGATCCAGTAATTAGAACAAGTCAGATCCTTTGTATTTGGTAATAATGCAGGTGTACATATTGGTTAATGCTTATTGCTTTCTTACATTCAAATTATTCATGTCTTCAGTTATTAATGTTAATAAGCAGTTAACAATTAGATTTTCCAGAATGTATGCTAATTTTCCCAGCAGGTCCATCAGAGGTGTCTTCATGATGAAAAAGATAAAACAGACAATAATAACAAAGAATATCAGGGTGCATTTCATGACCTTTGACAGCATGTCTGAATGCTCACTTCACTGACTGCTCTTCTGCTCTTCTAATGTTTGAAACATAGGTGGAGTCAACACATCATGTTTACTGCTCTGAATTAGGCCACAACATGTACGTCTGTATCCAACATCCTATAGGCCTGTGTTGCACTTTCATGATATTTAAGATGCATGGTTAAAACACAAGTTCATAATAATAATAATAAATGTATATATTGAGTTAACATTAGTCTTTTTTTTATCTCCCTGGCCTCCTCTATAGCTGATAGGAAACCTCTGATGCTGTTATGTTATCTACACAGAATGAACCTACATTCAAAACTTTTCATCCTATTTTATGTTTTTTGGGAAACAGTCAGTTTTGCGTAACAGCTTCTCTTCGCTCGGATAGATGTAGCTCCTTCTCTCTTTCGGAGAATTATAAATGCAAATTGAATCTTCTATTTTGATGCGGCTACAGTGTAATGCCGTGAAATCTTGATAGACACGGAATAATGGCGCCAATTATCTTCACCTCGCGTCACATTATGACAATAGATCACTTGTATTTCCTCAGGATAAGGGATGAAATCATCCTCCCACCATCATTTAAGTCTCCTGTTGAGAGCAAACGCTTTACATGAAGGATAGGCTACTCAATACGACAAACAATATTGGACTTTGAGCAAAACATCAGCGACAAAATGCCAACAGAATTTGTGGAGGAATATCAACCTCTGCTTATTAAAGAAACCAAAGATAAGCAACCAAAGGTATGTGAATTATAATGAATAATCTTTATCTGTAGAAGCGTTGGGACTCAGTTTTCTATCAGTAATGAAATGTAAATAATTGTTTTGTATCTGTTTTATTGCAGTTTCCCAACAAATCACTTCTGCTGGCTGCCTGTGCTGCATGTATAGGGGGAACCTTTCAGTATGGATATAATGTATCTGTCATCAACGCTCCCACAACGGTAACAACACTACTGTCTATGTTTTTGTTTAGACCTGTTACAAACCAAATATTGCAGTCAGTATTGCACATAAATTACATCATCAAATTACATTTATATCACAATAGGCCTACAGATCCACACACCTAGTGATGTCTGGTAAATGCACAAATATGTAAGGGATAAATCCCAATAAGATGTCCTATCATCAGGAATTAATAGACGACAGTGAAGCCAGCCAACGTCCTTTTTTTTTTTGGTAATGAACACCTCGAAGGGCTTTGTCCTGCTTATGCCATGGTCACTTGCCAAAGGAAAAAAACAATAAGACCTTTAATTAATATTTCCATGCGTTTTGAAAAGAAAACATAAATATTTTCACAAGCCATAACTGTTTCCCTTGTAAAGCTTTAAGGTTTGCTAATACCTTCATTACCCTCTCATAATGTTTTTATGCCATGAAAACCTTTAAAGCATTAATATTCTATAACAGGCTAAAACATGAATATATATGGTACATACACGTAACAGTTGATTGTCGTTCCAAACAAAACCGAGGAATGAGCAACAACTCATTTAAATGACATTCTTATGGCAGCACTCCTGTGTTTGCTATGCCCCTTTAACAGCGGTGTGCGCTTTGCTCCTGCCTATGGACAGAGCGAATGAACGGCCGGATGAGTTGCTCTGGGTGCCTCTAAATGACTGCATCACCCTCAGAATTTACAATCCTGAGGGCCGTGACAAAACGTCAGTATTTGATGACCGGGGGATGAGGCCGGGCTGTGTTCCACTGAAAAGTTGTGTCCTATTTACCATACAATGACTACTTTTAGAAACAACCATCATAAATGTAATGTGTTTCTTCTCTCAACAGTATTATTTATTTATTAATGTTATCTGAACAAATTAAAAGACAGACAGAGTGCCCCAACCCCCCTGATAGTGTGTGCGATACTTGGAATTAGGACTCATGGCAAACATTTTATCTATTATATTGTATCTAATACAACTGCATTGGCTGCAATTGGGTGCTTTTCAATTTTAAAAGTCACCAATTAAAACAGAAACTGAAAACATGAAGTCATTATGAACATATTGATTGACAAAAAATATATGAAAATTGGAATGATAGACTTAAGCACCTGTAAAATGTGACACCTCTGGGTCTGCAGGGAGGATTAAAGTTTAAAAAAAGCTGCGCAATCCTAATGAAGCCAGTACATTAATTAAGAACGGTGAACAGACAGTTTCACTGGAACTAGTAATTGTCCATTATCAGGAATGAATGGTGTACCTGCAGCCAATCAGAACCAAGTATTCACCCAGACCAATCTTTTTAAATAGTCATTTTTATTTCACCTGATGAATGTGCATATTGTGTTTTTCTTTTATCTCTATAGCATGTGCAGAATTTCATCAACGAAACCTGGAGGGAGCGTTACCAAACTGACATATCAGTCGATGCTCTCACTCTGCTCTGGTCCACTATTGTGTCTATATTCACAATAGGAGGACTTGTAGGAGTGTCAATTGGTGGGACATTGTCTGTGAAGCTGGGGAGGTATGGACAAGAAAATATGATGGTATATTTTGGCAAAATGATCCTATTTTCCAGATTGTATTCCAGTTATAAAGTTATAATGTAATGTTGCTTTTCCAGGAAAGGGACGCTGTTGGCCAATAATATATTTGCATTAACGGCTGCTCTGCTGATGGGTCTGAGTTACCCGACAGGATTGTTTGAATTACTCATCATTGGACGTCTTCTCATTGGAATGAATGCAGGTATAAATAGAAATAGAAATACATTTAAACATCCCAGTGAAAAACCTTTTTGTATAATATTTGAAATAATAAAAATAACGTTGCTTCACTCAAATGTGGCCTTTTTTATTTTTTACAGGCATTGGCCTTTGTGTTCAACCTCTGTATTTGGGGGAAATAGCTCCAACTGCACTTCGTGGTAGCATGGGCATGGGAACTTCTATTTTCATTACTGTCGGGATCTTGGCTGGACAAGTGATGGGCCTGAAGTAAGTAAACACTGGGTATATTTGGTTTCCACACAAAAAAAATCCACAGAATCTGTGTTTGCATGATTGAGTTGCTATGTCGTGATTTTGTTCAAACATATCTGTGTGATTTCACAGAGAGCTCCTGGGCAGAGAAGAGTACTGGCCCATCCTGCTCGCCACCACATGTATCCCAGCCTTCCTGCAGCTTCTCATCCTGCCCTGGTTCCCAGAGAGCCCGCGCTACCTGCTCATCGACAAAGGAGATGATGAGGGATGTAACAAAGGTAAATTTACACTGCAGCTGCTGAACATTTATTTCATTTTCAAAATCTGTGTGATTTGATCTTTTGCCTGCAAAGATTGATGTTGTGCACATGACAACATGGTTTAAAAGGTTGAGGACTTCCTTTGTGTCAAATCACTAGAGGCAGCGAGCATGTGACATCATTCTGGTAACGCTACAATAATGAGATGAAATACAATGAATGGGGATTAAATAAATGATTTGACACAGGAAACCTTTTGATCAGATCTTAAAAACACCCTGTAGTGTAGCCTGATCAGTTGATGAGAATGATGTATTTGGAGAAAACTACAATCGCCACGCTGGTCATGTGTTTTCTTGTCGGCAGCCCTGAAGCAACTGCACGGTATAGCTGGCTGTGATGGCGAACGGGAGGATATTGAGAAGGAGAGGAATGATTTAGTGGATTTCCAAGCCAAGAAACCCTGGGAGATCTTCACTGATCGTAGTGTCCGCTGGCAGCTTCTTTCCGTCTTGCTGCTCAATGCTGCACAACAGCTGAACGGCATCAATGCTGTGAGTACATGATGGTATACCTGTTGTCTTCCAATATCCTCTGTCCTGCTGTCTCTCACAAAGTTCAGTCTATTCCTCAGTGACCGCACTGCCAACCTTTAAGACGTAAAAACACCACTAAAGATTACTAAAATGTGTTTTTTGTCTGTATTTCCTGTAGATTTACTTCTACGCAGATTACTTGTTCAGACAATCTGGTATTCCCGCTGATAAAATACCATATGTGACCGTTGGCACTGGTGCCTGTGAATGCATCACGGCTTTAACGTGTGTGAGTATGAGTTCAACATTTTATTTTTGTGTGCATTAATTTCTTATAATTCAGATGATGTTACATCAAAATATTAGGCAGATGTTATTAGCGCTCAGGTGTCGGAAGACAACAGTAATATTTGCACACGACCCGGACAAACATTAAATGCTGTACATGTATAAGTAGTGTAGGCTGTGTATATCTTTCCTCAACCCAACCAAGTAGTTTTGTTGCCTAAAATTAACTAAACTGCAACTGAATTCTGAAAATGATCAACTAAATGTAAAAATAAGCTTCTCACAGGAGTCAAACCCCAGTTTCCTGAGTGAAAGTGTGTGAGTTTGACACATTCATCCACCACAACCCGCCCTGTTCATATACCTTGTCGCTTTATATACTACTACTATTACTACTACTATTACTACTACTACTAAATATTTTTGCCAGAACACTTTCTGGCAGAAAAGAGTGCAATTAGAAGCTCCGAAAAGTTAAATAAGGACAAAACAGTCAGTACCTTTCTAAAAATAATGTCAAGCGTTGGACAAAAGTTTGAAAAGTTAAAACATATTTGAAATAGAGTCAAACACCAAAGTGGAAAATTGTCTTGTATAAAAATAAGAACAGCACAAGAACATGTGACACAAAAGTCTTAAGATGGTAAAGCATAAACTAATGTTTGGTGGAGCAGGATTTGATAGAACTGACAATATCCCATGAAAGGTCAAAGTAAAATTCAAGGAAAGTGTTTGCTTGCAGTCTTTTTGGTCTTATGATATGCTGTGTATCTCACAGGGTTTGCTCATTGACCGTCTGGGGAGGAAAGTGCTCATCACGGGAGGATACACACTGATGAGTATCTGCTGCATTTTATTCACGCTGACGCTCTCTTTTCAAGTAATTAACCTCAAGACCAGACATTGTAAAAATAAATATTTAAACTATTATTCTATGCAATTTGTTGCATTTGACTTCTACTTTGTGCTAACATTCCTTTTGTGTGATTATCTTTCTCTCAGGATGCTAGTCCAGTAATACCATACTTGAGCATGGTGTGTTTATTTGCTTTCATCCTGAGTTTTGGATTAGGACCAGGTAATAACCTTTTCCTCCTCCATTGAAGTTATTCTTTAGCAGCTGATGTTGCTGAACGGTTAGAACTAACAGAGATTTCTTGTGTCGTTTCTTCTTCCGTGAAGGTGGCGTGACAAACATTTTGACCACTGAGCTTTTCACACAAACTGCTCGCCCGGCAGCTTACATAATTGCTGGATCATTGAACTGGTTGAGCTTCTTCTTCATCAGCCTGGTCTTCCCTTTTATTGTGGTAGGTATCCAAAGAGTGTATCTTCATTTTCAAATGTTTTATCATTACCTGCTACATTTGCAACACAGAGAGTTGGACTCACTCTGGTTGTATTCTGTTTTTATTTGCACAGATCGGGCTGCAGCAGTACTGTTTCCTGGTGTTCTTGGTCGTCTGCTCCTTAATGGCGATATACATTTACCTTGTCATTCCTGAAACCAAGAACAAAACCTTCGTCGAAATCCAGAATGAGTTCAAGACGTTCAGCCACAAAAAGGCCCACAATGCTGACAGAGCAGGGACGACGCTGTTATTAACGTCTACATGAAGTATTAACCATGATTTGTTTCAATAAAAATAAATTGAGAAAAAAGCTTTCAGTGTGAACAATCACAAAATGTACTTTTTGTGCCTTTTAGGCAGCCTGACATTGTTCTGACCTCAGTGTGCCGTGTGACCTGGAGAACAAAGTGTTCATTGAAGTGTGTGTCAAGTATGTATTTACAGGGGCAGAAAATAACTTCGGTAGTTATTGGAGAATAGATATACTTGTTTTCATTTCACATAGTTACTTCAAAATAGTTCATGTGACCTCCCAACAGTAACTATTTCAGTGTGAATATGTGTGGCAACCAACGTCTCTAAGTCAAACGTTAAAGAGGATTGACACAAACTTAACTTCACCATCGTCTTAATTTGAATACAACAGCATAAATGTAGGCTGCTCCGTCATTGTTGCCTGGTTTAAAAGTAAACACACAGCAAAGGAGGCTATTTAATTACAGTAATCTTACCAAGTACCTTCTCTTAAAATATAAAAGGATTCAAATGAAGCAATTGTCTCAGTCAGGAGCATAGACCATGCATGACCAGATTAAAACAGGACACAAATAAGCTTTACTGTACTGCACTGTCCACCCTGCTTTCTTCCAAATACAGTTATCATAGCAAACTTCACAGAATTATATTTCTCTTAGCAGAAACAGTGAGCTTGTGCTGCAGTATTTGCCCCAGGTCACACACTGTGCACAACATAAACAACAATTATAAAATATAGTTTTCACACAGGGCCTCGAGATAAAGTAATAATGTAGGGCTTAAGCTGCTTATCATTTCAGATGATATTGGACCTTAGTGGTGCATATACTCATTTTTTGCAATAAAATTTGCAATAAAATGAAAAAAGACATATAGTCAACCTGGGATTTCCACTTCCCAACATTAATTTAGCCTGTTGTATGTACAGTCAATAACGACTTATATACACAGTCAACTGCCAATATGACGTGTTTAAGATCTGCAGATGGCACATGTAGGTCTTACCATAAGGTTTTTTGTGCCTTTCTACTTGTAGGTATTTGTGAGGCCACATAATAATAAAATCCTATAATTTGTTAGGATTATAAATGTCTCTTCTATAATGTCATTCAGTGAAACTATCCAAATCAAAACCATACATTATTTAAGTTCAGGTTTGTATTTTGCTCCTGAGATTCAAATGACTGTATGGGGCTCTGGATAACTTTGGTTTACCACTTACCCCGATGCATCAGGTGATGGAGAGTAGTGGAAGAAGTATTGAGATGCTTTACTGAAGAAAAAACTAGCAATATTGCAACATAAAAATACTCCATTACAAATAAAAGTCATGCACTTAAAGTACTTCATTATTACTAACAAAATGTACAGAACAGTGACATCTGTGAGTGTTTCTATTGCATATTACTGTTTTAGTTTTACTAAGACATTCATATGTATAAGTAGCATTTTACTGGTGTAGTTAGTGAGGCTAATTTTATTAGAATTAGCAATTCAATCGTATATACTTTTATACTTTCGTATAATAAATAGCAATGCATCATATTTTATAAGATGATCATATGAAAAATCGTACTATGTAAAGCAAGAAGCTGTCAAATGAATGCAGTGAGTCAAAAAGCACAAAGTGGAGAAAAAGTATAAACTAGCATGGAATGAAAATAATTAAGTAAAGACAAGTAAGCCATTCTCACAGATGTAACATTGTTTAAGTGGATGTGCTTTTACATGCATCACTGATCAAGAACAATAGACAGTAATTTACATGTTTAATAAAAGAAACAGGTTTAGCAGGATGAATTTACCTTCCTGCAGATGTATTCTTATCCACACTCCAGTCCTCCAGTCCAGCAGATGTCAGAAATGCCCTTATACGGAGAAAGAGAAGAAGAAGAAGAAGGCTCCTCCCACTCAAACATGGCGTCCTAGAGCATCATCCACGCTTGTTTGTTGACATATATTTAGAAATCAAGCTTATGCTGTATTTGTGGATTTACAACTACTATAACTATGTCGAGACTCATCGTTAAAAATCTCCCTAATGGGGTAAGTAACCCTCCCGGATGTGAGCAGACGTTTTGTTTTGTTTCGGCCCGTATGAAGATGTAACACTACTGCGTGTCTTGTGTGCAGATGAAAGAGGAGAGGTTCAGGTCGATGTTTGCCGCCTTTGGCACAGTGACAGACTGCTCTCTGAAGTTTACCAAGGACGGCAAGTTCCGCAAGTTCGGCTTCGTGGGTTTTAAAGCGGAGGAAGATGCGAACGGAGCTCTGAAACATTTCAACAAGAGCTTCGTGGACACATCCAGAGTGACGGTAGGGCAGTCACGGCTGCACAGCTGAGCATGCGCGTTGTCGACGTTGTTGTTTCTCCACATGTGAACCCCGTGGCTGTCATGTATTCCAGGTGGAGATGTGTAAGGCTTTTGGAGACCCCACCAAAGCAAAAGCCTGGAGCAAACATACCCAGAGCTCAGGCCCGGACAAACCCTCCTCTCCTGCTGGTACTGACAGCAAAAAGGTACCTGCAGACACTAAATGATGAGAAGTTACATGAAACTCTTACTAAAACCGTTCCTGATCTTAGTGGAGAATGATGTAGTGAAGCTCTGCAGCACTGTCCCGTCTATAAAAGTGATTTCTTTTGTTTCTGCTTTCAGAAAAAGGAACAGAAAAAGGAAACCGACAGCACACTTGGAGATGTGAGTACATGTGACATTCAGCAACTATGTTTGTTAAAAGTTAATTATATGAGATCTGAATGTGAATGAGAGGCAACCAGCTCTTAATCAGCCTCATGAAAATAGTTAAATATGAACATAATTTACATTTTCATCTCCTAGATTTGTCATTACTCATGACAGTGTTCCCTCTACATCACCCCAGTTCTGATCTTGTAATCATTTATTGTACTGTAATTATGTCATGTACTTGATACTCTCACATGTATTAATATCTACCTGTGATATTTGATGATTCGTTTTTTTATTATGTGTTTTATGACAAACAGTGTTTTTAATATATTTAATTCTTAGTCTATGTAAGCTCTAATCATGGCGTGTCCACTCGTCGTGTGTCTCAGCTGGAAGAGGATCAGGGATTCAAGGAGTTCCTGTCAGTGCATCAGAATCGAAGCCAAGTCCCGACCTGGGCGAATGACACCGTGCAGCAAACTACCGATCCCGACGCTGGACGGACGAAGGCTCCGGGCAAGAAGAAGAAGCCAGCTTCGGATGATTACCTCAACTTTGATTCAGAACAGTCCGAGGATGAGGATGAGAAAGAGGAAGAGGAAGACGTAGATGACGAAGATGAAGGTTGGTAACGGCGGTCCCTTTTTAAGTGTAGGTCCTGTAGATGAAAGCTGTTTCCCAATTTAGAGCCTGGATCCGCTGAAGACTTGATTTACACAGTGTCAAATGTCTTCATCATAAACCAGGTGCACTAGTCACCTTTTCTGACATTTTATTGCAACTTTGTAGTTGTTAACCTGGAAATGTGTTTGACTTAACAGTCTCAAGAGCAGCAGTTGGTTCAGTCTGGCCTGTGTGGGGTACTGGTTACAGTCAATGAAGAGCAATGAATACATGGATCACTGTGTTACAAATGCTTCACATCACAAGCTTAGAACTACACAGTATGAATAGAAAAGGAAAGAAAGAAGTGCATGATTGACCGGTCTCCGTATTGTTGTTGCTTTCAGGTGCCACTAAAGAAGCACTGAAGTCTGGCTTATCAGATATGGAGTACCTGCGCTCAAAGGTGGCGCAGACAGACGACACAATGGAGGAGAGTGAAGAGAAGCATGATGTTGACGAAAATGAGGATTGCGGTCCCGTGCAGCACACGGACAGCGCCTACGAGAGCGGTGACAGAGACAACGTGTCAAAGACCAAAACCTCAGTTTCTTCTGAGGATAAGAAGCAGAGCAAAGCGAAGAAAGCTGCCAAGCAAGAGGTGACCGTTTAAATCTACACATTAAACTCTGCTGTTCAGTGCAGCACAGTATTTGTTTTCCGCTTTTACAAATACCGTTTGTTGCAGATGGAGCCGACGACCGAGTTCACGGTGAAGCTCAGAGGAGCCCCGTTCAATGTGAAAGAGGTGAGCGAACAAGAGCCTCCGGGTTTCAGAGGAGCAGTGATGATATTGCACACTTTATATTTCAGCGTCTGCATCTACGACTCAAACTTTTTTTTTACGTGTTACATCAATAGCAACAAATCCGAGAGTTCATGACGCCGCTGAAACCTGTAGCTATCAGGATTGGGAAGAACGAAAGCGGAAATAGAACAGGTATGTTATTGAAAGCATTTTTCAATAATTGTAATGTATTTATAGATGTATTGTCCTGTATACCACGTGTCTGGTGGGTAGATAGATGTATGTGTCCATGTTGACTGTATGTGCGTGCGTTTCAGGTTATGTATATGCGGACTTGCACTCTGATGAAGAGGTGGAAAAGGCTTTGAAGAAGAATAAAGACTACATAGGTGAGAAATAATATGTCCCATGTTAAATATGTACCCCGAGGTGTATATGATGACTGCTCCTGGCTAACGGTGACATACCTTCTGCCTGTGTGTTTCAGGCGGGCGTTACATTGAGGTCTTCCGTGTGGATGCCTCTGGGGGTAAAGGCAAGAGAGACAGGAAGGACAAGGAAATTGACAGGAACTTCACCAGGAAGCTGAAGGAAGATGAGGAAGAGGAAGATGTTGCAGAGTCGGGTCGACTCTTCATCAGGAACCTTCCTTACACCTGCACTGAGGAAGAGATCAAAGAGCTATTTGACAAACATGGTGAATTCAAAAATACAACTTTCATACACGCACACAAGTTCACACAGGCTTTCACTCTTCTCAGAGGTGATAATAACTTTACAATCTTTACAGGTCCTGTCGCTGAGATGCTCTTCCCTATTGACAATCTAACCAAGAAACCTAAAGGATTCGCTTTCGTGACGTACATGATACCAGAGAATGCTGTGACCGCTCTGGCTCAGCTGGACGGACATGTATTTCAGGTATTTGATCTCCAACTGATGTTTGACATACATCTGTACGCCACAGCACCTGTAATGGCGTCTGGATTCAGTAGTACAACTTAAGTTGACGCTGATTACATTCATTCTCACATGCTTTTAGGGCCGGATGCTTCACCTGCTTCCCTCCACACTGAAGAAGGAAAAGACCGAGTCTTCAGATGCTGGTGGTCCTGGCTCGTCGACTTACAAACGGCAAAAAGATGCTAAAGATAAAGCTTCTAGTTCCAGGTATATGCAGTATATTTATTCACATTAACCCTCTGCTTCTGCGTTTTTGGTTTCTCTGAATTTACTCATAAAGATCAATTACATGAGCCGTCCCTTATTCCTCTTATTCATTTAATGTTACCTTCTAGCTCCCACAACTGGAACGCCTTGTTTCTGGGCACAAGTGCAGTGGCAGATGCCATTGCTGAAAAATACAACACCACAAAAAGCCAAGTCCTGGACCATGTGAGTAATGCGATATCCTGTTCTTCTACAACATGAATGGTCCTCAACTCCAGCATTAGTGGGTGTTCAGACGGTGAGCATTCCTGCATTAAAACAATGCATGGGAAATGTAAATGCTTGAGGTACCAGTGAGAGGATGAAATACTATCTCAAGTCCAGTTTGAGCAACAGATCCATGAGTTTGAAGGTTTTTTTCAGTTGCCAAAACACTCCAAAGGGATTTCTAAAGTTAAGAGGAAGGATTTTACTGCTCTGATAAGTCATGACGGACATTTTTATCTTTGAAGATAATCAGTAAAAATATGCCAATTATGTTATAAACGTATCTACCAAGAATGCATGCTTGCATGTATTCAACTGGTCAAAGCAGGACCTTGCTGGATGACATCGCATTGCTTGAGAGCAAATGTTGAGCCAGGTTCCACCTCTTTGCTGGACGATTCTGTGTGTGTGCTTTTGCTGCGGTCCTCTGCTGTAGTAGCCTTTGGCCAGGCCAATGCAGCCTTCCCATTCAAATGAAAGAGGGGGCTGTTTGTCTGTGATTGCATCTTTTTTTCATCTGTTGCTGCTACATCAAAATATGAATCATTAGGCAAACTGAGCAGCAGTGTTTAACGTGTCTTTATATTTCTCTGGTCCAGGAGTCAAAGGGAAGCCTTGCAGTGAGGATGGCTCTGGGTGAGACGCAGATTGTTCAAGAGACTCGGCAGTTCCTACTAGACAACGGTGTCAGTCTGGATTCCTTTAGTCAGGTATGCTGAATACACACTCCCATTATCATGTTGCTAAATTGTCCATGAACATTTTACCGTACCCATAATGCAGTTACCTTGGTTAAGATTGTTTCCTGCGTGTGCCGTTTGCCCTGGCGTACAGGCAGCAGCAGCGAGGAGTACAGCTGTGATCCTGGTGAAAAACCTTCCAGCTGGAGTGACGGCGTCCGAGTTGGAGGAGCTTTTCTCACCTCATGGCTCTTTGGGCCGAGTGCTGCTGCCGCCCTCAGGCCTCACCGCCGTCATCGAGTTCCTCGAGCCAACTGAAGCGAAACGAGCTTTCACTCGGCTGGCCTACAGCAAGGTGTGTGTATAGCTTTATACCAGCAAGACCTGCAGCAGCAGCATATGTTTGAGGCACTTTAAAAGCTTTTAATGTACTGACTGTATCTCTGAAACCCATAGTTCCATCACATCCCGCTGTATTTGGAGTGGGCACCTGTGGGGGTGTTTTTGGCAGCCAAACCAGAACCAGGTAAAATCACTTAAACACACTCATCAACATACAATACTACACAATCTTTTTGAAGTTTTGTAGACACAAATGTACTAATTGGAATAACCAAAATGTCTTTTCATTTGTCCTCCAAGTAGCACAAAAAGAGGATGCAATGAAAGAGCAGAAGAAGGATGAAGAAGATGAGGAGGAGGAGGAGGAGGAAGAGCAATCTGCTCCTGGTTCAACACTTTTCATTAAAAATCTTAATTTCAGCACGAGAGAGGAGAAACTACAGGAGGTGGGTCAATTCATAAATTCAACCCTGAGTAGCGTTTGGTAATACTGAATGAGGGTTTAATGTTTAATATTGTTTTCTCTGTTTGTTGCAGATGTTCTCCAAATGTGGCAAGATCACATCCTGCACCATCTCCAAGAAGAAAGATAAAACAGGTACCAATCATTAAATGTAGGATCTTTCACATGTAACATAACATTAGAAGACAATAGCTGTGTGTTTCCTCAGGCTTTGCAAGAGCAGTCTGTAATTTATTTTTTTAAACCTCTGAATCAGAGTTCACACTACTTTACAATGTTGGTTTGATTTCCAGGCAACATGTTGTCCATGGGCTACGGTTTTGTCCAGTATCAGTCCGCAGAGGCAGCACAGAAAGCCCTGAGGCAACTACAGGTACCATACCATGCTCCTTCTGACAACCTTCCTCTACAACCTGGTCCTTGACTAAAGTGTGTTCTTTGTCTCAACCCTCCACCAGCACTGTACTGTAGATGATCACCAACTAGAGCTGAAGATTTCTGAGAGAGCCACAAGGTAATATGTGCACCAGAAGGCTTTTAGTGTGAAATGTGCTTGAGAATATCACCAAGTGTTTCTTTTGTTTCCATATTTCCAATATCGACTCTAATAGTCTGTGGGGCAGACTTTAGCTAGAAGCGTTGCATGTATACCTTACTTCTGTTGTCACTACTCACTCAGTCGTTTCCCCTTTGTACAGGTCTACTGAAGTGTCACGGAAGAAGAAGCAAGATGAGAAGAAACAGACAGGATCCAAAATCCTTGTGCGAAACGTCCCCTTCCAAGCGACTGTCAGGGAAATTCGGGAACTCTTCTGGTAGGCATCACATGCACACAACTGTTTTTTATTCACACCGTGTTGATAATTTAACAATACTATGATTTACTCCCTCCGTCCTTTCAGTACATTTGGAGAGCTGAAGACAGTCCGTCTTCCAAAGAAAGCAGCTGGTTCAGGGAATCATAGAGGCTTTGGCTTTATTGACTTCATCACCAAACAGGACGCTAAGGTTTGTGTTATGTGAGCTTTGAGACATGTATTTAGGAAATCTACTGTCCTCTAGTGCTGATCATGGATACTATGCCCCTGTTATCTCCATAGAAAGCATTTGCTGCTCTGTGCCACAGCACCCATCTGTACGGGAGACGCCTCGTGCTGGAGTGGGCTGATGCTGAGGAAACAGTAGAGACATTGAGACGGAAAACAGCCGAACATTTTCATGGTAAATCAACAAACTTTTGTAACAACATGAAGAAATGAAATCAACGCTGCGCTGTTTATTGATTTATTTCCTCTATATTATTTATCCTCCATGACAGTGGGCGCCAAAAAGCAGCGAAAATCAGACGTTATGGAGGGAATTATGGAGACGATGGAAACTGGAGGTGGGGAAGACTGAGTTCCCTGAACGCTATTATCTCTTTCGAAGCCTCGACTCCGACCAGCGCTCCTGTGTGTCTCTGTATGAACAAAATAAGGACCTGAGTACCGTGTGCAGAAGGAACTAATTATAAGGAATTTATCAACTTTGTGGAACTTCTGGATTTCTTACATGATTTGTAATGGGTTGTATAGAATGATGCCTCAAAGAAATATGATTGGACCGATGTTAGTTTTTCTATAAAATTTTATTCCATGCTTTTAAAGTCTCATGTCTCATGTCGTGGCCTGTTGTACTTCTTCTAATCATCGTGAGGTTCTACACATGCTTCCTACATTTTGCTGGAAAAAAACACAAGACTCAGTCCCACCAGTTCCCTCTGTGACAGCAGATTATCATCCAACTAATCACAACAGATCCAAAAATAATTTCTCAAAATGTTAATTTAACATAAATTCATAAATAAATTATCAAATTGTGTGTCGGTGCTTGTGTGCGCGCACGTGACATAATAGTCAGTCTTTTATTTTGAAAGTACATTTCCTGGTATATCAGGTGACTAATCACCCGCTTTGTCATGTGACTTGGTGACGTTAACATGGCGCCCAGGCCAAACAAGATGTTTGCTCTTGGAAGTTTTAAAGCGGTTTTGTCCGCGTTGTGTTTTTTGTGCGCGTGTGTTCGAGCTGAAATACGAACCGCTGTTATTGACAAACACACCGGACAGCTGTCTGTTCTCGAGGGATATCGAGAAGATTTCGTGGCTTGGGCGAACTTCACTGATGACATTAACACATCGGGGTGAGTTCACTACATGTTTTTCTGAATAATTCTTAGTACAGCATAAGTATGCCTTCTGTCATCTCCTCACCCACAGTACAGGCGATTATTCCTTATGTTAGTGCAAACAATATGAAAAACGTAAAGCACCCAAACCATCACCTTGATTGTTTTCAGCTGGTCTTTCTTGGAGATCACTACCAGCAGTCGGTACAATGACAGTGTCCAGGCCTATGCAGCCGGTGCAGTGGAGGCTGCAGTCACATCTCAGGTTAGTTTATGCTCCACGTGCAAAGCCGTCTGTTATATTTACTGACTTTGCATTTAACTTAATGTAGTGATTTGGTGTCTGTTTGTTTTAGCTCATCTATAAGCACTGGATGAACACTCTTTTAAGTTACTGTGGGCCCTTCACGTCTGTGTCTGGTTACTGTGAGCGCCTGAAGGCTTTCATCACAACCAACATGCAGTGGGTTCAGGAGCAAATGGAGAAGCAGCCCAGTTCACCCTACTGGTACCAGGTACACAATCAACATTTGTAGGATGAATAATATCCCTTTCATGGATACAAGAATGTTAAAGGCCTCAAATATATTTGATAATCAGTTTCTTCTTGTCAGGTGCGTCTGACGCTGCTGCAGCTGAAAGGTCTGGAGGACAGCTATAATGACCAGCTGTCATTGCCAATAGGGTCGTTCTCCCTCAACCCGTTCGGCTTCCTGTGAGTGGTTATCTACATTTCTCATTATCAATCGCACGTTTCTTCGCTGTTCCTGAGATCCTAAACCTTGTTTCTTGCTGTTGTCTCACACTCTCTGCCTCTTCTCTGCCCAACCAGACTTTTTCAGCTAGGCGGGGATCTGGAGGACTTGGAATCTGCTCTGAACAAATCCAGCCAAACTAGACCTCTTGGATCTGGCTCCTGTTCTGCTCTCATTAAGCTGCTGCCAAACAACAAGGAGCTGCTGGTGTCGCATGACACCTGGAACGGCTACCAGTCCATGCTGCGCATCATGAAGAAATACATGTTTGCCTTTAAAGTTTCTCCTTCAGGTAGTGTACTTATGCGAGTGTGTCTTCTGTTACTCTACTGTTACTGCTCTAGAGTCCCTCATTACTTACATTAAGGGATTGGTTGAACATTTGGCAAATATACTCATTTACTTTGCGAGAGTTAATTGAAAAGATAAATAACATTCCTGTCCAAAGACGACACAGTCTTGATTTACAAGGGGCCTCAGCTGGTTGCCTGGCACCTTGTGGTGACAACGAGATTACAGGGAATACACGAACTACACTTTGGGTTTTGTTAGGTTTAGACAATTGAAATATAATGTGTCTATTGGTGGTTTTCAGAGGCGATAGTTGTCACTGTTGGGACATAGCCAGGCTAGCTATTGCCCCCTATTTCCAGTCTTCATGCTAAGCTAAACTAAATGGCTACGGGCTCTAGCCTAATGTTTAAAGCCCCTTTTTTTTCAAAAAGAAAAATTAGTTTCCATGTTTGAAGCTCCAATAATAAGACTGGTCGTGTTGTTGCTGTCTATTATGTGAATACAGATTTGTCTAACTTCAGTATGTGCGTGATTTATTTATTATCTTGTCAGAGGAAGGCTTTCTTCCTGGAGGAACTCAGGCGTTCTCCTCTTATCCTGGATCGATCTTCTCTGGAGATGACTTTTATATCCTAAGTAGTGGCTTGGTGAGAACTGTTTGTACTTGGCATTATAGAACTGAGTGTTGGGAATAAACTCCAGTATTTCAATGTGTCTTTATCTACTGGCTACAAATTGAGTATTGCTAGCTAGAGTTTCTTGTTCTTAATCTATCTCCTGTGTCCAGGTTACTTTGGAAACCACCATTGGCAACAGTAACCCTGCTCTCTGGAAGTTTGTTCATCCCACGGGAACCGTCATGGAGTGGTTGAGGAACATTGTGGCCAATCGACTGGCTGCTACTGGCAAAGAGTGGGCCAAGATATTCAGCATGTACAACAGTGGAACGTGAGTCTCTCATCACTTTTTAATCAACATTATCACCACTTTGTCCGGATGAAATCCAGGCTGTGTTGTCTTCTGCTATTTGTTCTGTGTTCAAAATTCCAACAAATGATGTGATTAGATAAGGCTTTGAGTGACCTTAGACTGCAATGTGGATGTGGAGCAGAGAAACGGCGTTCATAATCAGGAGTTACATGAAAAGTCCGTTGGGTCAACTCTGAACTCAGCCTGGTGACCCCATTAGGCATTTGACCCAACTGTTTGTTGTGAAATGAAATCAAACACAGTAAATAAATTAATAAAAATCAGTAAACTCTGGTAGGGTAAAGTTTGTATGCTATTTGTGTATATATGTGTGCTTTGTAGGTATAACAACCAGTGGATGATTGTGGACTATAACCACTTCACTCCAGGAAGGACTGACATTAAAGAGGATCTCTTTGTTGTACTGGAGCAGATTCCGTAAGTCTTTGCACCACATCTTTAATCAAAACACAAGATTATTTAAGTGTTTATGACTTCTAAACCT